AATGGCACAGCATCCTCTTTTACATAATCTCATAAACTTGATTTAATTAGTTAGTGCTGAATTATCGCATTGTATCGTGATATGGGTGTGAATCGTATCGTGTCGCATCGCAATATGTCATAAATGTATCGCTAATATATCGGATCGTATTCTTTGTATCGAGATGCGTATCGGATCGGCATTATAGCTTAGATGCCCAACCCTAATAAGGTGGTGTTGCACATCAAGGTTTGTGCTTCATCATGCCCAGCATCCTAAAAAAGTCAGGTAAAAAAATTAAAATTTACCAACAGATCAAAGGAGAAAGGAGGAATTGGTTTAAGAGGAAAATACAAAATGTTTAAAAAAAATAAAATAAAATAGCTTACCATGTACTCCCTCACTTAGGGGCTTTGAGGATGCATTCACACCTTTTTTCCACTGGTGATGTTCTAAATAACATGAAATGACAATTAGTAATTTACTAAATAATTAGTAGTTAAAATTACTAGTAATTTTTACTGTACATCATTTTAATGTGTGTATAGGCATCTAAAAGCATAGTACCTGGATGATCCACAGTCTCCTCAGCCAGGTATGGGACTTTAGAGGTTGAGCTGTAAACCTGTGTGGGAGAAAATAGATGTGAGTGAGCAAAGATTTAAAATAATAAAATATAATAATATACATAGCAAACTACTAAACTTCAAAATTTAAACGTGTTAGATGACCAAACAAATAAGCTTACATTAAATATGTCATCATGCTAGATGTCATCCTATTTAAGTGTCACATATGCTTGTCAAGATTTTTTTTTAAGTTAACAGGCTTGAATACAACTAAATAATAAATAACAATGTGCCAACACCACATTTTAATTAATATTATGTAAGTTATTAAAACTGGCATTCAAACTTGACAAACCGCTTGACACTCATTTAAAATAAAGACTATCAAATCAAATAAAAAATCAAATCACTTTTATTGTCACATTATCAGCAGCACGTGTGCTATGATGAGTGAAAAGCTTAGACTATTCTAACATGACTATTCATTACTACCAACGTTAGCAACTTTATTTTGGGGGAGTAAATATATACCAAGTATAAAATTTCACAGGAATGCAAAACAAACTATACATTTATCTGACTATAATGTGGAAAAGACACAGGGAACATGGCAATTTCATAGCAATACTACACACAAACACATCATAGTATTACAAGAGAGTACATTTATGATTCAAATGTTGTCACAGCCTCAGTATAAATACATAAAAAGTAAAAAAAAATCTCACCTGTGTGTCCACATTGGGGAAAGCTTTGTGCACGTTCGCAATTTGTAGGGATAGCTGACGTGAAACTGATGTTTCGACACAGTGTCGAGATCCCGAAGCGCAAGTGTTTCGAAACACTGCACCGAAGCACTCAAGTCACGTGACTAAAGTGTTTCGAAACACCTAGTCACGTGACTAAAGCGATTCAAAGCATCGATAAGCTTAGAAACGTTTCGAGACCTGGCGAATTGTCATTTGACTGCCAAGGTCTCCAATCAATCTGTGTCTCATATGGCTTAGAGTACTGTGTATTTGCTTATTGATTCTATGCTTTGCATGATGTTTTGGGTTCGAATCCCAACTTGTACAAATACTCTGAAATCATGGTTTTATGTATTTTAATCATGTTTCTGTTTTGTGTAGCCTAAATAGGATACAGTTATGCCATCAATTTAGCATCATTTTTGTAACACTGTAAAACAATAATAAATATTTTTACAGTATGGTTGGGTTTAGGGTTAGGGTAGACATTAATAAAATACAATAAATGGGAAATTTAATGAATAATATAAAGAATTCTTGATAACTTCAGGCCACCGTTTTTGATCTAGCAACAACCCTGTTTTAAGACAAAAACAAGACATATTTATTCACAAATTGTTTATTCGGATATCAGACCAATGTTGAAACAAAACGATACAAGAGCAAAGCATTACCAACTGGTATTAAAGCATTTCAAAATAACTGCGACAGTCTGGCTTCGAAACCTACTAACCCTGCATGGAAGTCTGACACCTTCTCCACTGTACTATGTTACTTGAGGAATTTGTGTACAAAGTTGGGTTTAATGCCTCAATTTGTTCAATCGTTCTTTGCTGAAGCTGTTTCAGTGCAATACATAAAAAAATGACCACTAGATGTCACTGTAGAGTGAGGTTTCGAAACGTTTCGAAGCTTCGACACATTTGCTTCGACTGTTTCAGTGTTTCACGAAGCCTCGCTTTGCCCACCACTAGCAATTTGTACTGTAATCTTCATCTTTTGATTCCCATAATATGGCGCCGAGCTGAGAGTGATCGTTGTGGTTTGAATCTTCTTACTTCCTGTGTTGTTTTGAAACTGCGCATGTGCAGATATTACTCCACCTATTGACCAAAATGCAGTACTGCAGAAGCAACACAACTCCCTTTCATTCATGTTACATAAGCAAGCTGTTTAAATGTGAAAACTTACTTTTTCTATTTTTTTCCAACACAACACTTTTATTTTTAATACACAAACATAAGCGAATTGTTTAATTTAAACATAGTTACATTCTTTGGTCCAACTAAAGCCATAATTAATTTTCTTGAGTGTGTGCAGAGCTGCTGCCTTCCAGGAATTGAGTTTGACATCCCTCTGTTAGATGTAATTCTCTGGAATAAAGCCAACTTCAAGGGTTATTCACAATAATGTGACAGAAGTGACGCTGACTGTTGAAATGCAAAACCATTAAGAGTTCACCCTTAACCAGAGCTTAACTTGTGAATTGCGAGGTCCAGGAACCGATTGGGGTAACATATCCAGCCTGTTACTTGAGGAAAGGGGGGGTTTTGTTGCACGAATGAAATTGAACGGGGTGGGGTTGTCGTGGACAAACATGAAGAGGGTTGGGGAGTCATGGAAGAAAGTGAACATGAACGGTTGGGCGGTTGAGGAGGGGGATCGATAATATGAGGTGCCGGATCAGATGTCAGAGGTTCTGGATCCGGCGTGTTTAGGTACAAATTAAGCACTACCCTTAACTGACGCTTGATAATAATGATAAAGAACCGGAGGTTGTCGAGCAAGGGCTCCCCCTTATCGAGGGAAAGAAAAATCTTTGCTTAAGTCGGGTCCTGAGAATTTCCCAAAAGGCATTTGGCTCAGGACAGCAACAGCATGTTTAGATCCCTCTCCAAAAAGCAATTAAAGGCTGATTTATATTTCTGTGTAAAGCACATGCCTATGGTCTGGCACAGCCTTCGCGTGGGTAGGCATCTCTCAAAAAATGTAAATACATGTCGCAATGACACAAAAGCGCAAGCTCTGTGATTGGTCGGATTAGTAGCTGTAACCAGTGTGGGTTTACAAGATAAAAACGTTTCTAAAACATGTTTATTAAAAACTGTAAAATCACTAAGTAATTCTTCAGCACAGCCGCATGTCAGTAAAATTATAAAAGTAGACGCTTCGATCCTGGTTCATGGACTTAAGTCAGGTTTATTTTGTACATTAACATAACGGATATCCATACAGCAGTGTATATAAATATGTATCCTGTCACATTTGCCATGCAAAACCAGTGCAAAGCTAAACGCATGTTAACTTTATAATGACATTGTGTGAGATTCATTGTTGTAGAAAGGCTTGAATTAACTCCACAACAAATATATCAAATAACTGTTGGGAAAGTTCATACTGTAATAGTACTGGAAATTTACTTCATTCTTGTCTGTTTTGTTTTGTAACCTGTCTCATTTCCCCAGTTAGCGCGGTTCGTTTGGCATAAGTAAATCCAGCAATCGCGCTCGGATCCACGCCAAAACAATTGCTCTGAGATCGCCTGAATGAGGTGGTGTCGGCTTGATTGAAACGAACTCTGGAGTGGATCGATTGCAGTGCGAAAGCAATACGATCCGAATCAGGCTATATCACAGTGTATTATGGATAAGTCATAGGCATATACTGTGTACAGCAATATGAAGAGACAATGATGAGTAGGGCAGGATGTCATTTCTATCGTGTAAAATACGAAAGTAAAAGCATGCTGAACTATTAACTATTTCTCTCTATGATATAAGCCTATAATGCATAGGCTAACAGCTATGTTTGAGAAAGTCTCTGCTCTATATTTAGTGACGACGTATGAGGGTGTTCACCATTCAAAATAACATTTTGCTTATAATGTCTTGTTGCTCATTGTCATAAATTAAAATAAGGACACATGACAGTTGAGCGGGAAAAATAAAGCCTAAAACTCTGACCGAAACTCTAGATGGCGCTACACAACTTTAAGCTTCTGTCACCCGCTCATAACACAGAAGAAGAAAGTTAACATGCTTGTTGTTGAAGTTACTGGCGACTCAAACAAGCCTGGATGGTTCAAGTAGCAGCTGCAGCTCTAGCGTTGAAGAAATTATTAATGTTTGACGCAGCGCGTCAAAACAAAAAACAAGCATGAGGCGTTTCTTAACAAAATTACGCTTTTACGCTTGCTGTTTTGCGCGTTGGTGTGAACGATCACATTAGCTGCCTTTTTTTTTAGTCACGAGGCGTTAAATGTTGATGGAAAACGTGAGCAAAGAGCGTCCCGGTGTGCATGGGCCTTTAGCCTGGTTGTTAGACTGTGCTGGAGCAGGCTAGCTGCAAAGAATACATTTTTATTGTAACTTTTATATTATAGTTTAATTTCAGATACGAGGCTAAATTCAACTGGGTTAGTATGAGAATCCCAGTTTAATCTCTCGTCTTGCTTTTGTGCAATACCCGTCAGCTGTCTGTTTATCCTGGATATTTTTATCTGTGACCGTGATTACCTTTTCCCGCTTATGATCTTTAAACTCTTGATTTAAATTTTTTTTATTCACCACATTTATTTGATCCATCCATGGCATTATTCAGTTACAATAAAATGCTTTAAAACTTAAAAACTGTAAGACAATGTTTTGACACTGTGTTGCACAAAAACTCTGTTTTTTTTTTTGTTTTTTTGTAGTGAAGCTCCTCCTCCTGCAGTGAAGCTCCTCCTCATCAGTTCAGCTAAAAATACTAGACATTTCACAACAGAAAGAAGACAAATCTGTTAAGACTGAGAACATGAGTCGTCCAGAGAACCTGAGTGATTCAGAAAACAGCAGTGATCCGGAACCCTGCGGAACTGCACATGAAGATACTGAAGAACAAACAGGTAGGTGTTTATTCCTGATTTTTTGTTTATTCCTGACAACAAGATAAACGTATTAACATAATTAGTATTAAAAGACTGAATTAAGTTTATTTGCTGTAAATTTATGGACTGGGTCTGAGTTGGCTTTTATTTCCATGTTGAGATGGTTTATACAAATATTATATCAAGCTAAATATAATTTGAGGTGAAAGATATTTTGTTCTAATTTTTACATATGAAAAGTCCTGATCTGTAATGCTTTACTAACCTGATATTGATTTGTTATTTTTTTTTAAATAACTGCAAAACATTTGAGTGTTTGTATCTTCAATGTTTTTGGCAATGTTTCACTTCACATTTTGCTAAGATTTTTGTTTACTGACTTGCTAAAAAAATTATTTACATTGATTTTCAGACAATAAAAAGAATGAGAAGAGCGAAGACTATAAAGTTGAAGGTACACACCTTAATCAACGCATGAACTCAATCAAATGTTGTCAATGCAGCAAACGATTTTCTAGACCTTCACACTTTAAGATGCATCTTAGAGTTCATACGAAGGAGAAACCTTATTCATGTTCTGAGTGTGGAAAGAGTTTCGTGCAGCAGTCAAGCTTAAGCCTTCACCAGAAGATCCACACTGCTGTAAAAAAGTATACATGCTCTGAGTGTGAGAAGACTTTTATTAGAGCTGATTATTTGAAACGGCACCAGAGGATTCACACTGGAGAGAAAACGTATAAGTGTTCACAATGTGACAAGAGCTTCAGTCAGTTACAAAACCTGAAAAAACACGAGAGGGTTCACACTGGAGAGAAACCTTACAAGTGTTCACAATGCGACAAGAGTTTCAGTCAGTTACACAACCTGAAAAAACACGAGATGATTCACACTAGAGAGAAACCGTACAAGTGTTCACACTGCGAGAAGAGCTTCAGCCAGCCAGGACATCTGAAGACGCATGAGAAGATTCACACTGGAGAGAAACCACACATCTGTTCACACTGCAACAAGAGATTCATTTGTTCAGAAAACTTGAAAACACATGAGAGGATTCACACTGGAGAGAAACCGTACAAGTGCTCACACTGCGACAAGAGCTTCAGTCAGTCAGGATATTTGAAAACGCATGAGAGGATTCACACTGGAGAGAAACTGTACTCCTGTGATCAGTGTCAGAAGAGTTTCATACAGTCTGTGCAGCTCAAGAAACATATGAAATTCCACACTGAAGATAAGCAAAACTCATGAGATAAGTGGAGTAAGACTGGAAAGATTATTCAATTGTATTGTGCATTTATTTTATTAATAAACTTTTACTCTTTGATTGAAGGTTCTCTCATTGTTTATTACTTTGTAGACTTTTACAGTGGTGGTTCTAGCCTAAATGGCACCCTGGGCGAACCACCAACCTTGAGTGATATGCTAAGGGTACTTTCACACCTACAGTTTTGTTTCGGAACCTGTTTCGTTTGGCATATATGAAACCACCAATCGCTCTCGGATCCGTGCTCCGAGATCAATTGAATGAGGTGGTCTCGGCTCGATTGAAACGAACTCTGGAGTGGATCGACTGCGATATGATCCGAGCGCGGTTACATCACAGTGTTTTATGGATATGTAATAGGCATATGGCTATATGAACATATATTCATGTATATATATATGAGGGAATTTTGAGTAGGGCGGGAAGTTTCCTACTCATAATTAGGAATGAGATGCTGCGTTCTTCCTGATGGTCACACGACCTTCACGCGTTTTAAATGGTGAATTATTTAAATATTACAGCATTCATAAAACGATTTATTGTTTTCCCCCAAAATATATATTTTCAAAATATATACTTTGCATAAAAACATTATCAATATACTCTGCCCAATATAAATAAAACTGATAGTAATCATACAAATTTCAGCAAAAAAACACCCTTAATGTGTTTATTCTTTTATTAAGATGTCCATGGGGATGTTTACTTTCACAGTTTGCTTTAGGGAAACTCCTAAGGTAAATAAGTTAAATCTCTGAACTTTAATAATAAATCTAAATAAAGTGCTGCGCTTCCCACCTCCAGTCGCAATGACTTCCAGAGTGAGTTTGGCGCTCAAGTCTGCATCGATATCCTCGGTATCAAGATCGTCTGTTCGTCAGCATCGTCTGTTCTTGCGGTCTTGAGTATTGGAACTGAACTTTGGCTGCTGATGATGATGTTACACGAGAACACGAGGACGCAAGACTGCTGAAGAACGCATATTGAGAAACGACCAAAACCATCTGTCTGCCAACTGAAGCTCAACAGAGGAAGTGTGTAAATGTTCAACAAATGAGGTAATAGAGAGAAGGGAAAAGTGTGTTATAAAGAGAGGGAAAGTGTTTGAAAGAGCTCCATGCAGTGAGGTATAACTGGAGAGTTCTAGTGGTGGTTGCTTGTAAGATGAGTGATATAGAGGATTCTCAGGGATTATATAAAGGGTGGTTTATGGCAATGTCATTTCTGAATGGTGAGGAACAGGTTTTGGATGAGGGTCTACGTCTGGCGCCAACTGCCTAAACTTCTGAAAAGAAAAACAAGCAGAGTGAGCAATTTGATTTTTGCAACCTGGTACATGCTCAGTATGACACGGGAAGTGACAGAGACAACTGAAGTTTGGATCCACATGCAGGTTTATTCGGATAGTCAGTCAGCAAGCAAAGGTCAACACGGGTGCAAACAGATATATAAAGGCAGTCCAGAATCGTAGTCAGTATAACAGGCAAGAGGTCAACAAGGCAGGCGGCAGACAGGGATAACTACATAAACAAGGCGAGGTAAATACATGGGAAAACAAGACGAGGATAACGCGATGAATTGTCACTATACAGATAACAAGACTAGGCAATGGAAGTGAGTGTGTGTGCTGCTTAAATAGTGTGTAATCAGTCTTTGATAATCCTCAGTTGGTGCGAGTGTAATCAGTCAGAATGAGGAACTGTGTGTGTGTGAACGCGAAGTGCATGTATGCAAATGTAGTTCAACAATGGCAGATTTGTAGTCCATTAGTATTTGTGTGTGAAATCCAGCGATCTATGAAGTACGATCGCTGATAATTTTGACAGAGCCCCCCCACCTCTAAGGAGTGGCTTCCAGACGCTTCTAATAATGTTCCGCCGGGAGGTGAAGCGGAGGCGGAACAGGGGGAGGGATGGAGGACCAGGACCATGCAGCGAGGGCGTACCTGAAGCATGGAGTTGAGGAAGGCCTGGAGCTGCAGAGGGCCCGGAGCGTGAAGCCGTGGAGGGTCTGGAGCTGGAGCCGCTGAGGGCCTGGAGCGTGGAGCCGCGGAGGGCCTGGAGAGTGGAGCTGTGGTGGGCCTGGATCTTGGAGCTGTAGAGGGCCAGGAGTATAGAGCTGTAGAGAGCCTCGAGCCTTACGTTCAGCAGATGTCGGCGGGTCATATGGATCTGGTGGATCACATGATTTTGGTAGCTCTGTGAAGTCCTGCGGCCTTGGCAACCATTCGTGGAACTCAGGCGGCAGCTCGGACCCTTCATGTGACTCAGGCGTCAGCTCAGGCTGTGTCAACTCTGGCGGCGACAACTCTGGCAGAAGTGGCTCTGGCGATGGCCTTTCAGGAACAGGAACAGACTCGAGACAGGAAGCCATCTTGTGAGCTGATGGACTGGAGGCGGCCATCTTGTGAGCTGTCCGATGTGCCGTAGACTGGAGAGTTGGTGATGTTCGCATTAAAGTCTCGCAGTGTGTTCCTTGAATGGAGGGCACCAGAGTCCTTTGAAGTCCTCAAATGGCAGGCTCCAGATCCCCTTGAGTCCCACGAATGGCCAGAGCCGCTACCTGAGTCCCATTAATGGCCAGAGCCATCATCTCAATTCCACGGATGGATTTCACAGAGCCATGCAATCTCCCAGAGCCGCTAGAGCCATGTGACTTCTCTATGCTCCTTGAACCAAAGCCTCCTGACCCACTGGAGTTAAAAGAAGTGCCAGTAGTCCTTGAATCATAGCCTCCTGACCCACTGGGGTTATATAAACTGCCTGTGCTACTTGAACCAAAGCCTCCTGATCTACTGGGGTTATATGAACTGCCAGTCCTCCTTGAACCCAAGCATCCTGATCCACTGAGGTTATATAAGCTCCCAGTACTTCTTGAACCCAAGCCTCCTGACTCACTGGGGTTATATGAACTGCCAGTCCTCCTTAAACCCAAGCCTCCTGATCAACTGGGGTTATATAAGTTCCCAGTACTTCTTGAACCCAAGCCTCCTGATCCACTGGGGTCATATGAACTGCCAGTACTCCTTGAACCCAAGCCTCCTGACCCACTGGGGTTGAAAGAAGTGCCAGTGGTCCTTGAATCAAAGCCTCCTGGCCCACTGGGGTTGAAAGAAGTGCCAGTGCTCCTTGAACCAAACTGTGATCCACTGTGGGTGTATGACTCGTCAATGCTTGCTGAACCTGAGTCCCCAGATCTACTGCGGCTCCAGGCCATCCACAGCTCCAGGCCCTCCGGAGCTCCACTCCAGCTCCTCCGCAGCTTCACCTTCCAGGCCCTCCTCAGCTCCACCTTCCAAGCCCTCTGCAGCTCCACGCTCCAGGCCCTCGGCAGCTCCACCTTCCAGGCCCTCTGCAGCACCACAGTCCAGGCTCTCCTCCGCTGCACGGACCTGGTTCGCCGTTCCTCCTCTGCTCCACCTCCCCAGGCCCTCTGCTCTCTTGTGATTGCCAGTGGAGTTGTCTCCGCTGACGATCATTTCCTGTAGTTTGTGCCAATTGCTAGCAGGGTTTCCAATATGGGAGACTACCACTGAGTGAACTCCAACTCCCAGAAACCCCTGCGCTCATCAACGCTGGTATCAGCGGACAATAATCCGAACACTCGCACAGACACAGCTGCTCCTCATATACACTGATTACAAGGACTATAAATACACCTCACTTTCACCAGCAGACTTGCTGGCACCAGGGGTCATAAACTCACGTAGAACGCACCCAGACTCTTGTAGGGGTCACAATGGAATTTTACCTCCGAACTGTGTACCAAGATGATGAATTACAGTGAGCGCAGCAATCTTGGGAAAAGAGCTCTAAAAAGGAGTTGACACATTTTTTGAAACAGTGGATCAGGATGTAAATGAAGATACTAACATACATAATAACACTCCTGTTAGCAGCCCTCTTGGTAGCTGTCCTCCAGATGAGAACCCTGGTCATCTCCATTAGTAAGACTTTAAACAGTAGCAGTACTGGCTACAGCAAGATGATCTCAAGAAGTTGGTTTACAGACTGGCTTTAGAGTTTCTCTCATTGCATTTTTCACTGCAATTTTAAGGGGTGCATTTCTCATTCTAGTAAAAGTATGGGAGGTCTTTATTAAAAACAAAAACAGATTACAAATTGGAGATGATTTCTGGTGGGTCTTTTCACTATATTGATATGACCCAGGGATAGGCAATCTTAGTCTTGGAATGCCGGTGACCTGCAGAATTTAGAGCCAACCCTCATCAAACACACCTGTCAATAGCTTTCCAGTGATCTTGAAAACACTGATTAGCATGTTCAGGTGTGTTTGATTAGTGCTGGAACAAAACTCAACAGGACACCGACCCTCCAAGGACCAAGTTTGCCCATCCGTGATATAACCCGATGCTTTCAGGGACACATTGTGAAGTGCAACTTCAGTTTTTCCAGGTGTTTACACATTCATATTCAGCTAAATTCAAAAGCTCCCCACTACAACTTTAGCACATTTTTGGGTATGCTCAAATGTTTATTTAAATTTGTTTTGCGATGATACCAAACCAAAAATTATGCTGGATTATCGCAGTCACTTAGCTTCGGAATTACAGAGTTTAGACAGAGGTTTTGTGTTTGCTGGAAAGACTTTCTTTGTCAAGGTATGTTATGCTCATGTGTGATGCTCTTTATCAAAATGTATTAATATAGCTGTGACAAATGTCAGCAGAAGGATTCTTATTTGAAGCATCGCATGACATTTCTAGAAACCGATGTCCCCTGTAGAACATTTCGACTGGAGTTAGATGAGGAATACCATCTAACACACAGTTCTCCTTTAGAAGATGACATTGACATGGTCGCTGGTTTTCCACATGATTACATGGACCATGTGTGTTTGGGTGTAATGAGTTGTCTTCTGGACCTGTGGTGTAGGGAACCCATGCAAACAAGACTTTCTAGCACGCAAGTCTGCCATGTCCGAGAGATATGAAGCACTAAAGGAGTTAAATCCAGCAGAGTTTAGGACGCCAAGCACTCTAGGTTAGGGGTGGCCAACTCTGTTCCTGGAAAGCCACCTTCCTGCAGATTTCAGTTGCTACCCATGTCAAAC